GAATGTGAATAGATAGACAGATAGATATGAAATAGTCATGAAATAATTTAGACAGGTGGATAGGATAGATAGTCAAGAAATAATTTAGACAAATATAGATAGATAGACAGATAGATATGAATAAATGACAGGTGATAATGTAGATAGATAGATATGAATAGTAAGGAAATAATTTAGACAGGTAGATAGATATGAAATAGTCAGAAATAATTTAGGACAGATAGATAGATATGAATAGTCAAGAAATTAATTTAGGATAGATAGATAGATATGAATAGTCATGAAATAAATTTAGACAGATAGATAGATAGAGTCAGATATGAAGACAGATAGATAGATGAAATAAAATAATTTAGACAGGTAGATAAATAGACAGATAGATAGATATGAAACAAATGTGAAATAATTTAGACAGATAGATAGAATAGATAGATATGAATAGACAGATAGAAAGAATAGTCAGACAGGTGGATAGATAGATAGATAGATAGATAGATAGATAGATAGATAGATAGATAGATAGGAAATAGTCATGAAATAATTTAGACAGACAGATATAGATATGAATAGTCAGAAATAATTTAGACAGATAGATAGATATGGGAATAGTCATGAGATAATTGACAGATAGATAGATAGATGAATAGTCAAACATGAAATAATTTAGACAGACAGATAGATATGTATAGTAGAAATAATAGATAGACAGATAGAGATATGAATAAAGTCAATAGAAAATGATTTAAGACAGATAGATAGAGATAAGAATTTAGACATGAAATGATTTAGACAGATAGAATGAATAGTCAAGAAATAATTTTAGACAGATAGATAGATGAAGAGTCATGAATTAATTCAGACAGACAGATATATATGAATAGTCATGAAATAATTTAGACAGATAGTGGATAGATAATGAGATAGAACAGGAATAGAAATAATTTACAGGTGGATAGATAGATAGAGAGATAGATAGATAGATAGATAAATGAATAGTCAAAATAATTTAGAGAGATAGATATGAATAGACATGAAATAATTTAGACAGATAGATAGAAAGAATGAACAAACAAATAATTTAGATAGATAGATAGAAATGAATAGTAATAATATAATTTAGACAGATAGATAGATATGAATAGTCATGAAATGATTTAGACAGATATGAATAGTCATGAAATGATTTAGACAGATATGAATAGTCATGAAATGATTTAGACAGATATGAATAGTCATGAAATGATTTTGCCAGATAGATAGATAGATAGATAGATAGATATGAATAGTCATGAAACAATGTAGACAGACAGAGATGAATAGTCATGAAATAATTTAGACAGACAGATAGATATGAATAGTCATGAAATAATTTAGACAGACAGATAGATATGAATAGTCAAGGAAATTAATTTAGACATAGTCATGAAATAATTTAGAATAGAGATGAAAATTTAGACAGACAGATATATATGAATAAATAGAAACAGGATAGATAGATAGATATGAATAGTCATGAAATAATTAGACAGATAGATAGATATGAATAGTCATGAAATAATTTAGACAGATAGATAGATATGAATAAAGATGATAGAAATAATTTAGACAGATAGATAGAAATGAATAGTCATGAAATAATTTAGACAGACAGATAGATAAGGAATAAACATGAAATAATTTAGACAGATAGATGAGATAGAATAGTCATGAAATTTAGAAATATGACAGATAGATAGATATGAATAGTCATGAAATAATTTAGAGATAGATAGATATGAAAAAAATAAGGAATAGAGATAGAAATGGGAATAGATAGAGAGATAGATAGATATGAACAGACAAGATGAAAGAATTTAGACAGACAGATGGATAGAATAGATAGAAATAAATTAGACAGACAAGAAAATAATTTTAGACAGGTAGATAGATATGAATAGGATAGATAGACATAGAAACAGTCATGGAAATAATTTAGATAGGTGGATAGATAGATAGATAGATAGACAGATAGATATGAATAGTCAGAAAATGGATAGACAGATAGATAGATAGATAGATAGATAGAATAGTCATGAAAATAATTTAGACAGACAGATAGATAGATATGAAATAGTCATGAAATAATTTAGACAGATAGAGATATGAATAGTCATGAAATAATTTAGACAGATAGATAGATATGAATAGTGCGAAATAATTTAGACAGATAGATAGATATGAACAGTCAGAAAACTAACAGGTGGATAGAGATAGATATGAATAAATCAAGAAATAAGTTAGACAGACAGATAGATATAATAGTCATGGAAATAATTTAGACAGACAGATAGATATGAAAGTCATGCGAATAATTTAGACAGACAGATATATATGAATAGTCAAAATAATTTAGACAGACAGATAGATAGATATGAAATAATTTAGACAGACAGATAATACAATTAGACAGACAGATAGATAGATATGAAAAGTCAAGAAACAATTTAGACATAGAGGATAGATAGACAGAAATAGAATGATTCATAAGGAATAGTCAGACAGATAGATAGATAGGAAAGTCAGAAATAAAATAACAGATAGATAATTTAGACAGATAGATAGAAATAATTCATGAAAAATTTAATTCAGACAGATAGATAGATAGGAATAGTCAGATAGATAAACAATTTAGACAGACTGGATAGATAGATAGATATGAAGAGTATGAAATAATGACAGATATGAACATAGATAGATATGAAATAGATAGATAAAGTAGAAATAAATTTAGACAGGTGGATAGATAGATAGATATGAATAGTCATGAAATAATTTAGATAGACAGACTGATAGATAGATGATAGGAATAGTCATGAAATATTTAGACAGGTGGATAGATAGATATGAATAGTCATGAAATAATTTAGACAGATAGATAAGATAGATAGAAATAGACAGACAGGAATAATGTATGGAAAGAATTTAGATAGATAGATATGAATAGAATAGAAATGAAATAATTTAGACAGAGATATGAATAGATAGATAGAGATATGAATAGCATGAAATAATTTAGACAGACAGATAGATAGATATGAAATAAATATGAAATAATTAATGTAGACAGGTGGATAGATAGATAGAACAAGTCAGAATAGACATAAAATAATTTAGACAGATAGATAGATAGATAGATAGATAATAGATAGAAATCAATAGTCAGAGATAATTTAAATAATTTAGGCAGATAGATATGAATAGTCATGTAAATAATTTAGACAGATAGATAGATAGATAGATAGATAGATAGGAATAGTCATGAAATAATTTTGTACAGGCAGATAGGGAGGTGAATAGTCATGAAATAATTTAGATGGATAGATAGATAGATGGAACAAACAAGGAAATAATTGACAGACAGATAGGATAGGAATAGTCATGAAATAATTCAGAGAGACAGATAGATAGGAACAGTCATTAAATAATTCAGACAGCAGACAGATCAGAATTGGATAGCTTCATGAAATAATTCTAGACAGATAGATAGATCAAATAGACATAGAACAATTTAGACAGAATAGACATATATGAAATAGTCATGAAAGAATTTAGAGATAGATAGATAAGGACAAATTAGACATGAAAATATCGCTCAACAGATAGATAGATAGAAATAGTCAGAAATACTCATAGATAGATGAGGACAGAATTGGTGAATAGATAACAAAATAATTAGACATAGATAGATAGATAGATATGAATAGATCATGGAAATAATTAAGAGACAGACAGATAGATCAGGAATAGACATAAATAATGTACGGTGATAGATAGATAGACAGATAGATAAGGGACATAATTGAGACATAGATAGATAGACAGAAATTAGACATAGATGAGATAACATCAGAATTAGACATGGATAGATAAAGGAAAAATTAGACATACAGATAGATAACGGGAAGGATTAGAAATAGATGGATAAGACAGAATTAGACATAGATAGATAAGGGACAGAATTAGACATACAGATAGATAACGGACAGAAGGAGACATAGATAGATAACGCTCAGATAGATAGACATAGATATAGATAACGAAAGAATTAGACAGATAGATAAGGGACAGAATTAGACATAGATAGATAACGCTCAGAATTAGACATGAATAGATAACACTCAGAATTAGACATAGATAGATAAGGAACAATTAGACATAGATAAATTAGACAGATAGATAGACATAGATGAATGGCAACTCAAAATTAGACATAGATAGATAAGGACAGAAATAATTTAGATAGATGGATAGATAGAATTAGACATAGATGAATAACTCTCAGATTAGACATAGATATGAATGGAAAATTAGACATAGATAGATAGACTCAGAATTAGACATAGATAGATAACAGGACATAGATAGATAGATAGACATAGATAGATAACGCTTAGAATTAGACATAGATAGATAACGCTCAGAATTTAGACATGGATTAGACATAGATAGATAACACTTAGAATTAGACATAGATAGATAACGCTCATAATTAGACATAGATAGATAACGCTCAAAATTGAACATGGAAGATAAAGGGACAGGATTAGACATAGATAGATAACGCTCAAATTAGACATAAGAATAACCTCCAGAATTAGACATAGATAGATAAAGGGACCGAATTAGACATGAATAGATAACGCTCAGAAATTAGACATAGATAGATAAGGGACGAATTAGACATAGATAGATAACGGAACATAATTAGACATAGATAACAAGGACAATTAGACATGAATGAATAACGACAGGATTAGCATATATAGATAAAGGGATAAATTAGACATCAATAGATAACGCTCCAGAATTAGACATAGATGAATAACACTCATAATTAGACATAGATAGATAAAGGACAGAATTAGACATAGATAAGATAACGCTCAAATTGGAACATATATAGATATAGGGACAGAATTAGACATAGATAGATAAGGGACAGAATTAGACATAATTAACGCTCAAATTAGACATAGATAGATAACGCTCAGAATTAGACATAGATAGATAACGGGACTCAAATTAGACATATATAGATATAATAGCAACTCAGAATTAGACATAGATAGATAAAGGGACAGAATTAGACATAGATAGATAACGCTCAGAATTAGACACTAGATAGATAACGCTCAGAAATTAGACATAGATAGATAAGGGACAGAATTAGACATAGATAGATAACGCTCAAGAATTAACATAGATAGATAACTCAGAATTAGACATAGATGAATAAGGGACCCAGAATTAGACATAGATAATAACATCAGAATTAGACATAGATAGATAGGGACAGAATTGGACATAGATGAATAACGCTCAGAATTAGACATAGATAGATAACGCTCCAAGAATTAGACATAGATAAATAAGGGTTGAATTAGACATAGATAGATAACGCTCAGAATTAGACATAGATGAATGCGCTCAGAATTGGACATAGATAGATAACTCAGAATTAGACATGTAGATAGATAAAGGGACAAGATTGAACATAGATAGATAACGACAGAATTAGACATTGATAGATAACTCGCTCCGTAGACATAGATGAATAACAACTCAGAATTGAACATAGATAGATAAGGGACTGAATTAGACATAGATACAGATGGGGACAGAATTAGACATAGATAGATAAAGGGACAGAATTAGACATTGATAGATATCGCTCAGAATTAGACATAGATAAGATAACGCTCCAGAATTAGACATAGATAGATAAGGGACAGAATTAGACATAGATAGATGACAGCTCAGTGAATTAGATAGACAACTCTCAGAATTGAACATAGATAGACAAATTAGACATTGAACATAGATGATAACGCTCAAATTAGACATAGATAGATAACGCTCAGGAATTAGACATAGATAGATAAGGACAGAATTGGACATAGATAGATAACAACTTGGGAATTAGACATAGATAGATAACTCTCAGAATTAGACATAGATAGATAACTTGTCAGGAATTAGACATAGATGAATAAGGACAGAATTAGACATAGATAGATAACGCTCAGATTTAGACAGATAGATAAGGGACAGAATTAGACATAGATAGATAAGGGACAGAATTAGACATAGATAGATAACATCAAAATTAGACATAGATAGATAACAACTCCAAATTAGACATAGATATATATAAGGGACAGAATTAGACATAGATAGATAACGCTCAGAATTAGACATAGATGAGATGGCAACAGAATTAGTCATAGATGAGATGAGGGACAGAATTAGACATAGATGATAACGCTCAAATTAGACATAGATATAGATAACGCTCAGAATTAGACATAGATATATAAGGGACAGAATTAGACATAGATAGATAACAACTCAAGATTAGACATAGATGAATGTCTCAAATTAGACATAGATATAGATAACGGACAGAATTAGACATAGATAAATAGCACTCAAATTAGACATAGATGATAGATAAGGGACTCAGAATTGAACATAGATGGATAAGGACAGGATTAGACATAGATAAGATGGCGCTCAGAATTAGACATAGATAGATAACTCTCAAGAATTAACATAGATGAATAGCAACTCAAATTAGATAGATAATAACGCTCAGAATTAGACATAGATAGATAAGGGACAGAAATTAGACATAGATAGATTACATCAGGGATTAGACATAGATGAATAACGCTCAAATTAGACATAGATGATAAAGGACAAATTAGACATAGATAGATAACGCTCAAATTAGACATAGATAGATAACGCTCAAAATTAGACATAAATGATAAGGGACAGAATTAGACATAGATAGATAACATCAAATTAGACAAATAGATAACATCTCAGAATTAGACATGTAAGATAGATAAGGGACAGAATTAGACATAGATAGATAACGCTAGAATTAGACATAGATGAATAAGAATTAGACATAGATAGATAAGGAAGAATTAGATACAGATAGATAACGCTCAGAATTAGACATAGATAGATAACGCTCAGAATTAGACATAGATAGATAAGGGACAGAATTAGACATAGATATAACGCCTGTGAATTCAGACATAATAGATAACGCTTAGAATTAGACATAGATAGATAAGGACAGAATTAGACATAGATAGATAACGATAAGAATTAGACACAGATGATAACGCTCAGAATTAGACATAGATAGATAACGACAGAATTAGACATAGATAGATAACGCTGACAGAATTAGACATAGATAGATAACATCAGAATTAGACATAGATAGATAACGCCTCAAATTAGAACATAGATAGATTACGCTCCAGAATTAGACATAGATAACGATGAATTAGACAAAATAGAAGGACATAGATAGATATAGAATTAGACATAGATAGATAACGTTAGAATTAGACATAGATATGATAACGCTCAGAATTAGACATGAATAGATAGCATTGAACATAGATAAGGGACAAAGAATTAGACATAGATAGATAACGCTCAAGAATTAGACATAGATAGATAAGGGACAGAATTAGACATAGATAGATAACGCTCAGAATTAGACATAGATAGATAACCTTAGAATTAGACATAGATAGATAAGGGACAGAATTAGACATAGATGAATAACGCTCAGAATTAGACATAGATAGATATTAACGTCAGAATTAGACATAGATGAATGTATCAGAATTAGACATGAATGATAGATATGGGGTGGACAAATTAGACATAGATGAATATGCATGAAATTATCACATAGATAGATAGTGCTCAGAATTAGACATAGATAGATAACGCTCAGAATTAGACATAGATAGATAACGCTCAGAATTAGACATAGATAATGCTCAGAATTAGACATAGATAGATAAGTGACAGAATTACGAACATGAATGATAGAATTAGACATAGATAGATAAAGGGAAAATTAGACATAGATAGATAAAGGGACTCCAATTAGACATAGATAGATAACGCTCAGAATTAGACATAGATAGATAAAGGGACAGAAATTAAGACAAATTAGACATGAATAACGCTCAAGAATTAGACATAGATAGATAACGCTCAGAATTAGACAGATAGATAAGGGACAGATAGACATAGATAGATAACGCTCAGAATTAGACATAGATAGATAACGCTCAGAATTAGACATAGATAGATAAGGACAGGAATTAGACATAGATAGATAACGCTCAAATTAGACATAGATGGATAACGCTCAGAATTAGACATAGATAGATAACGCTCAGAATTGGAACATAGATAGATAACGCTCAGAATTAGACATAGATAGATAACGCTCAGAATTAGACATAGATAGATAACTCAAATTAGACATGATAGATAACGCGCTCAGAATTAAAGACATAGATAGATAACGGCTCAAGTTTAGACATGAATAGATAAGTGACAGAATTAAGACATGAGATGAATAACATCAGAATTTGACATAAGATAGATAACGCTCAGAATTAGACATAGATAGATAACCTTAGAATTAGACATAGATATAGATAACGCTCAGAATTAGACATAGATAGATAGGACAGAATTAGACATAGATAGATAAGGGACAGAATTAGACATTAGACATAGATAGATAACAACTCAGAATTAGACATAGATAGATAACGACAGAATTAGACATAGATAGATAACGCTCAAGAATTAGACATAGATAGATAACGACAGAATTAGACATAGATAGATAACGCTCAGAATTAGACATAGATAGATAACGGACCAGAATTAGACATAGATAGATAAGGGACAGAATTAGACATAGATAGATAACGCTCAGAATTAGACATAGATAGATAACGCTCAGAATTAGACATAGATAGATAAGGGACAGAATTAGACATAGATAGATAACGCTCAGAATTAGACATAGATAGATAACGACAGAATTAGACATAGATAGATAACGCTCCAGAATTAGACATAGATAGATAACGCTCAGAATTAGACATATAGATAGATTAAAGGGACAAATTAGACATAGATAGATAACGCTCAGAATTAGACATAGATAGATAACGCTCAGAATTAGACATATAGATAACTCAGAATTAGACATAGATAGATAACGGACAAGAATTAGACATTAGATAGATAACGCTTAGAATTGAACATGAATGAATAACGCTCAGAAATTAGACATGGATAGATAACGCTCAAATTAGACATAGATAGATAACGGACGAGATTAGACATGAATAGATAACGCTTAGAATTAGACATAGATGAATGGGGACAGAATTAGACATAGATGGAACGCTCAGAATTAGACATAGATAGATAACGCTCAAAATTAGACATAGATGAATAACGCTCAGAATTAGACATAGATAGATAAAGGGACAAGATTAGACATAGATAGATAAGGGACAAATTAGACATAGATAGATAACGCTCAGAATTGAACATAGATAGTCAAAATTGACAGGGTGACATGAATAACGCTCAGAATTAGACACCGATAGATAAGGGACAGAATTAGAGCATAGATAGATAAGGGACAGAATTGGACATAGATAGATAAAGGGATGAATTAGACATAGATAGATAGCTCTCAGAATTAGACATGGAAAATGATAACGGACAGAATTAGACATAGATAGATAAAGGGACAGAATAGATAGGACAGAATTAGACATAGATAGATAACGGACAGAATTAGACATAGATAGATAACGCTCAGAATTAGACATGATAGATAACGAAGAATTAGACATAGATAGATAACGCTCAGAATTAGACATAGATAGATATAAATTAGACAGAATTAGACATAGATAGATAACCCTCAGAATTAGACATAGATAGATAACGGACAGAATTAGACATAGATAGATAACGCTCAGAATTAGACATAGATAGATAACGGACAGAATTAGACATAGATAGATAACGCTCAGAATTAGACATAGATAGATAACGCTCAGAATTAGACATAGATAGATAACGGACAGAATTAGACATAGATAGATAGATAACGCTAGAATTAGACACATAGATAGATAACGACAGAATTAGACATAGATAGATAACGGACAGAATTAGACATAGATAGATAAGGGACAGAATTAGACATTAGATAGATAGACAAGGGACAGAATTAGACATAGATAGATAACGGACAGAATTAGACATAGATAGATAACGCTCAGAATTAGACATAGATAGATAACGCTCAGAATTAGACATAGATAGATAACGCTCAAATTAATTAGATAAAAAATTAGACAGATAGACATAACGCTCAGAATTAGACATAGATAGATAACGCTCAGAATTAGACATAGAGATAGATAACGCTCAGAATTAGACATAGATAGATAAGGACAGAATTAGACATAGATAGATAACGCTCAGAATTAGACATAGATAGATAACGCTCAGAATTAGACATAGATAGATAGATAGACATATAGGAATTAGACAGAATTAGACATAGATAGATAACGCCCAGAATTAGAGACATAGATAGATAACGCTCAGAATTAGACATAGATAGATAACGGACAGAATTAGACATAGATAGATAACGCCCAGAATTAGACATAGATAGATAACATAATTAGACATAGATAGATAACGACAGAATTAGACATAGATAGATAACGCCAGAATTGAACATAGATAGATAACTCAGAATTAGACGTAGATGAATAACGCTCAAATTAGACATAGATAGATAAGGGACAGGAATTAGACATAGATAGATAACGCTCCAAATTAGACATAGATAGATAAGGGACCCAGAATTAGACATAGATGAATGCTCAGAATTAGACATAGATAGATAACGCTCAGAATTAGACATAGATAGATAAGGGACAGAATTAGACATAGATAGATAACGCTCAAATTGAACATAGATGAATAAGTGACAAAGTGGGCATAGATAGATAACGCTCAGAATTAGACAGATAGATAACGCTCAGAATTAGACATAGATACATAAGGGACAGAATTAAGACATAGATAGACTAACGCTCCAAGGAATGAACATAGATAGATAGGGACAGAATTAGACATAGATGAATAACGTCAGAATTAGACATGAATGATAACGCTCGAAATTAGACATAGATAGATAAGGACAGAATTAGACAGATAGATAACGCTCATAACATGGATAGATAAGGGACAGGATTAGACATAGATAGATAACATCAGAATTAGATAACATTAGACATAGATAGATAAGGGACCGAATTAGACACATAGATAACGCTCATTAGACATAGATGGATAAAGGGACAGAATTGAACATGAATTAAGACATAATTAGATAGATAGATAAAGGACAGAATTGAACAAATGAATAACATCCATTGACATATATAGATAACATCAGAATTGAACATAGATAGATAACGCTCAGAATTAGACATAGATAGATAACACTCAGAATTAGACATAGATAGATAACAGGACATGAATTAGACATAGATAGATAACGCTCAGAATTAGACATAGATAGATAAGGGACAGAATTAGACATAGATAGATAAAGGGACAGATAACGCCCAAATTAGACATAGATAGATAACGGACATAGATATAGATAGATAACGCTCAGAATTAGACATAGATAGATAACGGACAGAATTAGACATGATAGATAACGAGAATAAGATTACAGAATTAGACATAGATAGATAACGCTCGCTCAAATTAGACATAGATAAGGGATAACGCTCAGAATTGTTAGACATTAGATAGATGAGGACAGAATTGGACATAGATAGATAACAGAATTAGACATAGATAGATAAAGGGACAGAATTAGACATAGATAAGGGAAACGATCAGAATTAGACATAGATAGATAACGCTCAGAATTAGACATAGATAGATAACGCTCAGAATTAGACATAGATAGATAACAGAATTAGATGAGATAGATTCAGAATTAGACATAGATAGATTAGACAGCTCAGAATTAGACATAGATAGATAACGCTCAGAATTAGACATAGATGAATTAGACATAGATAGATATCTCAGAATTAGACATAGATAGATAACGCTCAGAATTAGACATAGATAGATAACGACAGAATTAGACATAGATAGATAACGCTCAGAATTAGACATAGATAGATAACGGTCAAATTAGACATAGATAGATAACGCTCAGAATTGAACATAGATAGATAACGCTCAGAATTAGACATAGATAGATAACGGACAAATTAGACATAGATAGATATGGACAGAATTAGACATAGATAGATAACGCTCACAATTAGACATAGATAGATATCGCTCAGAATTAGACATATGTAGATAACGGACAGAATTAGACATAGATAGATAACAGTCAGAATTAGACATAGATAGATAACGCTCCAGAAATTAGACATAGATATATAAGATAACATAGATCAGAATTAGACATAGATAGATAACGCTCAGAATTAGACATAATAGATAACGAATTAGGGACAACATCAAAATTAGACATAGAATAGATAACGCTCAGAATTAGACATAGATAACGGACAGAATTAGACAGAATTAGACATAGACATAAGATAAGGGACAGAATTAGACATAGATAGATAACGCTTAGAATTAGACATAGATAGATAAACGCTCAGAATTAGACATAGATAGATAACGGACAGAATTAGACATAGATAGATAACGCTCAGAATTAGACATAGATAGATAACGGACAGAATTAGACATAGATAGATAACGCTCAGAATTAGACATAGATAGATAACATACTCAGAATTAGACATAGATAGAAGAATTAGACATAGATAGATAAGGGACAGAATTAGACATAGATAGATAACGCTCAGAATTAGACATAGATAGATAACTCAAATTAACATAGGGACAAATTAGACATAGATAGATAACGCTCAAATTAGACATAGATAGATAACGGGACAGAATTAGACATAGATAGATAACGCTCAGAATTAGACATAGATAGATAAGGGACAGAATTAGACATAGATAGATAACGGACAAATTAGACATAGATAGATAACGAATTAGACATAGATTGAATGCTTAACAGAATTAGACATAGATAGATAACGGACAGAATAACATAGATAGACAGACAGAATTAGACATAGATGATATAAATTAGACATAGATAGAATGAGGACAAAAATTAGACATAGATAGATAACGCTCAGAAATTAGACATAGATGATATACAACGCTCAGAATTAGACATAGATAGATAGATAAAGGGACAGAATTAGACATATGATATAGATAACGCTCAGACAAGACATAGATAGATAACGCTCAAACATTGGGCATAGATAGATAACGCTCAGAATTAGACATAGATAGATAACGGGACAATTAGACATTAATAACGCTCAGACATAAATAGATAACGCTCAGAATTGAACGCAGATAGATAACGCAAGAATTAGACATATAGATAACGCTCAGAATTAGACATGATAGAATAACGCTCAGAATTGACATAGATGAATGAGGACAGAATTAGACATAGATAGATAACGCGCTCAGAATTAGACATAGATAGATACATAGACATAGATAGACAACGCTCAGAATTAGACATAGATAGATAACGCTCAGAATTGAACATAGATAGATAAATGCTCAGAATTAGACATAGATAGATAACGGACAAATTAGACATAGATAGATAACGCTCAGAATTAGACATGATAGATAACGGTTAGACATAGATGAATGGACAGAATTAGACATAGATAGATAACGCTCAGAATTAGACATAGATAGATAACGCTCAGAATTAGACATAGATAGATAAAACGCTCAGGGACAACGCTCAGAATTAGACATAGATAGATAACAGAATTAGACATAGATAGATAACGCTCAGAATTAGACATATAGATAAATAAGAATTAGGACAGAATTAGACATAGATAGATAACGCTCAGAATTAGACATAAGAATGAATAATGAATGACAGAATTAGACATAGATAGATAACGCTCAGAAATTAGACATAGATAGATAACGCTCAGAATTAGACATAGATAGATAAGGGACAGAATTAGACATAGATAGATAACGCTCAGAATTAGACATAGATAGATAACGCTCAGAATTAGACATAGATAGATAACGCTCAGAATTAGACATAGATAGATAACGCTCAGAATTAGACATAGATAGATAACGCTCAGAATTAGACAAATATAGATAGATAAGACATGGGTAGATATACGACAGAATTAGACATAGATAATTAGACATAGATAGATAACGGACAGAATTAGACATAGATAGATAACGCTCAGACATAGATAGACATCAGAATTAGACATAGATAGATAAGTGACAGAATTAGACATAGATAGATAACGCTCAGAATTAGACATAGATAGATAACGCTCAGAATTAGACATAGATAGATAAGGGACAGAATTAGACATAGATAGATAACGACAGAATTAGACATAGATAGATAACGCTCAGAATTAGACATAGATAGATAACGGACAGAATTAGACATAGATAGATAACGCTCAGAATTAGACATAGATAGATAAAGGGACAGAATTAGACATAGATAGATAACGCTCAGAATTAGACATAGATAGATATCAGAATTAGACATAGATAGATAAGGGACAGAAATTAAACATAGATAGATAACGCTCAGAATTAGACATAGATAGATAACCTCAGGACAGAATTAGACATAGATGAATAACAACTCAAATTAGACATAGATAGATAAGGGACAGAATTAGACATAGATAGATAATGCTCAGAATTAGACATAGATAGATAAGGGACAGAATTAGACATAGATAGATAAATTGGGACAAATTAGACATTAGATAGATAGATATCAGAATTAGACATAGATATAGACAGAATTAGACATAGATAGATAACGCTCAGAATTAGACATAGATAGATAACGCTCATAGATAGAAATAAGGGACATGACATAGATAGATAAGAATTAGACATAGATAGATAAGGGACAGAATTAGACATAGATAGATAACGCTCAGAATTAGACATAGATAGATCCAGAATTAGACATAGATAGATAACAGAATTAGACATAGATAGATAAGGGACAGAATTAGACATAGATAGATAACGCTCAGAATTAGACATAGATAGATAACGCTCAGAATTAGACATAGATAGATAACGCTCAGAATTAGACATAGATAGATAACGCTCAGAATTAGACATAGATTAGATAGAAGGACAAAATTAGACATAGATAGATAGACAGAATTAGACATAGATAGATAACGCTCAGAATTAGACATAGATAGATGAGCTCAGAATTAGACATAGATGAGATAAGGGACAAATTAGACATAGATAGATAACGACAGAATTAGACATAGATAATAAAGGCTCAGAATTAGACATAGATAGATAACGCTCAGAATTAGACATAGATAGATAACGCTCAGAATTAGACATAGATAGATAACGCTCAGAATTAGACATAGATAGATAACGCTCAGAATTAGACATAGATAGATAACGCTCAGAATTAGACATAGATAGATAAGGGACAGAATTAGACATAGATAGATAACGCTCAGAATTAGACATAGATAGATAACGCTCAGAATTAGACATAGATAGATAAGGGACAGAATTAGACATAGATAGATAAATGACAGAATTAGACATAGATAGATAACGCCAGAATTAGACATAGATAGATAATACTCAGAATTAGACATAGATAGATAACGCTTAGAATTAGACATAGATAGATAACGGGACAGAATTAGACATAGATAGATAACGCAGAATAGACATAGATAGATAACGATAGATAACGCAGAATTAGACATAGATAGATAAGGGACATAGAATTAGACATAGATAGATAACGCTCAAAATTAGACATAGATAGATAACGGACAAATTAGACATATAGATAACGCTCAGAATTAGACATAGATAGATATAGGGACAGAATTAGACATGATAGATAACGTGACAAAATTAGAATTAGACATAGATAGATAACGCTCAGAATTAGACATAGATAGATAACGCTCAGAATTAGACATAGATGATAGATAAGGGACAGACATAAATAGACAACGCCTAGAATTAGATATAGATAGATAACAGAATTAGACATAGATAGATAACGCTCAGAATTAGACATAGATAGATAACGGACTAGATAACAGAATTAGACATAGATAGATAACGCTCAGAATTAGACATAGATAGATAACGCTCAGAATTAGACATAGATAGATAACGCTCAGAATTAGACATAGATAGATAACGCTCAGAATTAGACATAGATAGATAATGGACAGAATTAGACATAGATAGATAACGCTCAGAATTAGACATAGATAGATAACGCTCAGAATTAGACATAGATAGATAACGGACAGAATTAGACATAGATAGATAAACGCCTGAATTAGACAGATAGATAACGCTCAGAATTAGACATAGATAGATAAAGGGACAGAATTAGACATAGATAGATAACGCTCAGAATTGAACATAGATAGATAACGCTCAGAATTAGACATAGATAGATAACTCCTCAGGAATTAGACAGATAGATAACGCTCAGAAATTAGACATGAATGATAAGGGACAGAATTAGACATAGATAGATAGCAACTTAGAATTAGACATAGATAGATAACAACTCAAATTAGACATAGATAGATAACGCTCAGAATTGGACATAGATGAATGAGGGACAGAATTAGACATAAATAGATAACGCTCAAGAATTAGACATAGATAGATAACGCTCAATTAGACATGAATGAATTACGCTCAAATTAGACATAGATGAATAACGCTCAAATTAAGACATAGATAGATAACAGCTCAGAATTGAACATAGATAACGCTCAGAATTAGACATATAGATAGGGACCGAATTAGACATAGATAGATAACGCTCAAGAATTAGACATAGATGGATAACCCTTGAACATGAATTAAGAAGACATAATTAGACATAGATAGATAAAGGACAGATAGATGAATAACATCCAGAATTAGACATATATAGATAAAGGGACAAATTGAACCATAGATAGATAACGCTCAGAATTAGACATAGATAGATAAAGGGACAAAATTAGACAGAATATAGAATTAGACATAGATAGATAACGGACAGAATTAGACATCAGAATTAGACATGAATAGATAACGCTCAGAATTAGACATAGATAGATAACGCTCAGAATTGCGATAACGCTCAAATTAGACATAGATAGATAACGCTTAGACATAGATATAACGCATAGAATTAGACATAGATAGACAACGACAGATTAGACATAGATAGATAACGCTCAGAATTAGACATAGATAGATAATGGACAGAATTAGACATAGATAGATAACGCTCATTAGACATAGATAGATAACGCTCAGAATTAGACATAGATAGATAACGCTCAGAATTAGACATAGATAGATAAGGGACAGAATTAGATATAGATAGATAACGAAGAATTAGACATAGATAGATAACGCCAGAATTAGACATAGATAGATAACGCTCAAATTAGACATAGATAGATAAGGGACAGAATTAGACATAGATAGATAACGCTCAAATTGAACAGTGATAGATAACGCTCAGAATTGAACATGTAGATAGATAACGCTCAGAATTAGACATAGATAGATAAGGGACAATTAGACATAGATGAATGCCAACAAATTAGACATAGATAGATAAAGGGACAAGTTAGACATAGATAGATATCGCTCCAGAATTGAACATGAATAGATAACGCTCGAAATTAGACATGAATAGATAAGGACAGAATAGATAGATAGATAAGATGTATAGATAGATAACATAGATAGATAATAAGATGTATAGATAACGCTCAGATAGGCAACATCAAGATAATAAGATAAGGGACAGAATTAGACATAGATAGATAACGCTAAGAATATAGACATAGATAGATCAAATTAGACATAGATAGATAAGGGACGAATTAGACATGAATAGATAACGCTCAAGAATTAGACATAGATAGATAACGCTCAGAATTAGACATAGATATATAAGGGACAGAATTAGACGCATAGATAGATAACGCTCAAATTAGACATAGATAGATAACGCTCAAGAATTAGTCATAGATAGATAAGGGACAAGAATTAGACATAGATAGATAACGCTCAGAATTAGACATAGATAGATAACGCTCAAGAATTAGACATAGATAGATAAGGGACAGAATTAGACATAGATAGATAACGCTCAAAATTAGACATAGATAGATAACTCTCAAATTGAACATAGATAGATAACGCTTAAATTGAACATAGATAGATAACGCTCAAATTAGACATTGAATAAAGGGACATTAGACATAGATAGATTACGCTCAGGATTAGACATAGATAGATCAATGCTAAGGGACAAATTAGACATTAGATAACATTAGACATAGATGAATGCGCTCAGAATTAGACATAGATAGATAAGGGACAGAAATTGAACATAGATAGATAACGCTCCAGAATTAGACTATAGATAGATAACGCTCAAGAATTAGACATAGATGAATGAGGACAGAAAATTAGACATAGATAGATAACGCTCCAGAATTAGACATGAATGATATAACGCTCAGATTAGACATGGATAGATAAGTGACAGAATTAAGACTAATAGATAACGCTCAGGGTGACATAGATAGATAACGCTCAAAATTGGGCAATTAACATCAGACATAGATAATAACGGACAAATTAGACCTTAGGACATAGAATAACGCTCAGACATAGATAGACATAACGCTCAGAATTAGACATAGATAACTTGAATGAACATAGATGAATGAGGACAGAATTAGACATAGATAGATAACGCGCTCAGAATTGAACATGAATGAATAGGGACATAGATGAATGGGGACAGAATAGATAGACATTGAACATAGATAGATAAAGGGACAGAATTAGACATATAGATAGATAACTCAAATTAGACATAGATAGATAACACAATTAGACATGAGATAACGAATGTAGACATAGATGAATGCTCTCAGAATTAGACATGGATAGATAATGTGAATTAGACAGAATTAGACATAGATAGATAACGGGACAAATTAGATAACGCTCATAGATGAATAACGCTCAGAATTAGACAGATAGAATTAGACATAGATAGATAACGCTCAAATTAGACATAGATAGATAAAGTGACAAATTAGAAATTAGACGCTCATAGATAGATAGAGGGACATATTAAGGGACATTAAACATGAATGAATGCTCAGAATTAGACATAGATAGATAACGCTCAGAATTGAACCAGATGAATGAGGACATAGATAGATATAAATTGAACATGATAACGCTCAGAATTAGACATAGATAGATAAAGCTCAGAATTAGACATAGATAGATAACGCTCAGAATTGAACATATGGGGACAGAATTGAACAGATTAAGACATAGATAGATAACTCAGAATTAGACATAGATAGATAACGCTCAGAATTAGACATAGATAGATAACGCTCAGGGGTGGACATGAATAGATAGATAACAGAATTAGACATGAATAGATAACGCTCAGGAATTAGACTTAGATAAAAGATAACGGACAGAATTAGACATAGATAGATAACGCTCAGAATTAGACATATATAGATAACGCGCTCAGGTTGAACGCATCGCTCAGAATTAGACATAGATAGATTAGTGACAGCTCAGAAATTAGACATAGATAGATAACGCTCAAATTAGACATAGATAGATAACGGACAAATTAGACATAGATATTAAATTAGACGATGAATGATGACATGAATAGATAACGCTCAAATTCGTTAATTAACGCTCACATAGATAGATAAAGGGACAGATTAGACATAGATAGATAACGCTCAAATTAGACATAGATAGATAACCCTCAAATTAGACATAGATAGATAAAGGGACATAGATGAATAGACATAGATTGATAACGCTCAGAACGCATAGATAGATAAGGGACAGAATTAAGACATAGATAGATAAGGGACAGAATTAGACATAGATAGATAACGCTCAAATTGAACGTAGATATAACGATTAGATAGATAAATAACGCTTAGAATTGAACATAGATGGGTAAGGGACAGAATTGGGCGCGGTGAAACGCTCAGAATTAGACATAGATAGATAGCCTCCAATTAGACATAGGACAGGGAATTAGACATAGATAGATAACGCTCAGGAATGAACAGATAGATAACGCTAGACGACATAGATAGATAACGCTCAAATTAGACATGGATAGATAACGCTCAGAATTAGACATAGATAGATAAGGGACAGAATTAGACATGGATAGATAACGCTCAAATTAGACATAATGATAACGCTCAAGAATTAGACATAGGTGAATAACGGACAGACATAGATAATTTAGACATGAATAGATAGATTGAACATGAATATTACGCTCAGAATTAGACATAGATAGATAACGCTCAGAATTATTAGATAACTTGTCAGAATTAGACATAGGATAGATATGGGGACAGAATTAAAACATAGATAGATAACGCTCAGAATTAGACATAGATAGATAGGGGACAGAATTAGACATAGATAGATAACGCTCCAGAATTAGACATAGATAGATAACGCTCCAGAATTAGACATAGATAGATAAGGGACAAGAATTAGACATAGAATAACGCTCAAATTAGACATAGATAGATAAAGGGACAGAATTAGACATAGATAGATAACGCTCAGAATTAGACATAGATAGATAACCTCAGAATAGATAGATAAGGGACAGAATTAGACATAGATGAATACTTGCTCAGAATTATTATAGATAGATAACGCTCAGACAGAATTAGACATAGATAGATAACGCTCAGAATTAGACATAGATGATATGGGACAGAATTAGACATGGATAAAGATAACAGCCCTCAAGATAGATAACATAGACATAGATATAAACCCTGGGAATTAGACATAGATAGATAACGCTCAGAATTGACATAGATAGATAAATGACAAAATTAGACGTAGATAGATAACGCTCAAATTAGACATGATAGATAACGCTCAGACATAGAACGCATAGATACGCATAAGGGACAGAATTGAGATAAAGGAACAGAATTAATGACAAGAATTAGACATAGATAGATAACGCTCAGAATTAGACATAGATAGATAACGCTCAAATTAGACATAGATAGATAGGGACAGAATTAGACATAGATAGATAGGGACATGAATTAGACATAGACATAGATGATAACGCTCAGAATTAGACATAGATAGATAACGCTCAGAATTAGATATAACGATCAGAATTAGACCCATAGATAGATAAGGACAGAATTACACATAGATAGATAACGCTCAGAATTAGACATAAATAGATAACGCTCAAATTAGACATATAGCTCAGAACAGACATAGATAGATAACGGGACATTAGAATAGATGAATGCTCAAATTAGACATAGATAATGCAACTCAGAATTAGACATAGATAGATAACGCTCAGAATTAGACATAGATAGAAAACGCTCAGAATTAGACATAGATAGATAACGCTCAGAATTAGACATAGATAGATAAAGGGACAGAATTAGACATAGATAGATAACGCTCAAATTAGACATAGATGAATGGGGGACAGATTAGACATAGATAGATTTCTGAATTAGACATAGATAGATAACATTAGACATAGATAGATAAGGGACAAATTAGACATAGATAGATGAACTCCTAGAATTAGACATAGATATTAAAGACATAGACATGATAGATAACGCTCAAGATTAGACATATAGATAACGCTCAAATTAGACATAGATAGATAAAGGGACAGAATTAGACATAGATAGATATTAGACATAGATAGAAATTAGATATAGATAGATACCAGAATTAGACATAGAATTAGACATGAATAGATTGAACATACTCAGAATTAGACATAGATAGATAACGCTCAGAATTAGACATAATGATAGATAACAAAATTAGGAGATAGATAACAGAATTAGACATGAATAGATAACGCTCAAATTAGACATAGATACATAAGGGATTAACGCTCAGAATTAGACATGAATATAGATTACATAGATAGATAACGCTCAGAATTAGACATAGATAGATAACCTCAAGAATTAGACATGGATAGATAAAGGGACAGAATTGCAGATAGATAACGCTTAGAATTAGACATAGATAGATAACATTGAGGATATCTGAAGGACAGAATTGAACATGATAGATAACACTCAGAATTAGACATAGATAGATAGATAAAAATTGGAATGAATAACGAAATTAGACATAGATATTAACGCTCAGGAATTGAACATAGATACATAAAGGGACAGAAACTAGACATAGATAGATAACGCTCAGAATTAGACATAGATAGATAAAAGGACAGAATTAGACATTATAGATAGATAACGCTCAATTGAATTAGACACAGATAGATAACGCTCAAATTAGACATAGATAGATAACAACAAAATTAGACATAGATAGATAACGCTCAGAATTAGACATAGATAGATAACGGACAAATTAGACATAGATAGATAACGCCAGAATTAGATATAGATAGATAACGCTCAAATTAGAATTAGATACAGATTAGACATAATAGGACAGAATTAGATATAGATAGATGAACAGAATTAGACATAGATAGATAACGAGAATTAGACATAGATATCAAATAATAGATAACGCTTAGAATTAGACATAGATAGATAAAGGGACAGAATTAGACATGGATTAGATAACGGCTCAAATTAGACATAGATAGATAACACTCAGAATTAGACATAGATAGATAAAGGACAGAATTAGACATAGATAGATAACGCTCAGAATTGACATAGATAGATAACGCTCAGAATTAGACATATATTGATAACGCTCATAACATAGATAGATAACAGAATTAGACATAGATAACGATTGAACATAGATAGATAGCAGAATTAGACATAGATAGATAACGGACAGAATTGAACATGAATAGATAAAGGGACAGATAGATGGCAACAAAATTAGACATAGAATAACGCTCAGACACAGAATTGAGATAGATAACGGGACAGAATTAACGCTCAAATTGAACATGAATGAATAACTTTGCTCAGAATTAGACATAGATAGATAACGCTCAGAATTAGACATAGATAGATGAGGGACAGAATTAGACACAGATAGATAACGCTCAGAATTAGACATATGATAAGGATAACGCCAGAATTAGACATAGATAAGATAACCTTGGAATTAGACATAGATATAGATAACGCTCAAATTGAATTAGATAGATGAGGGGACAGAATTAGACATAGATAGATAACGCTCAGAATTAACATAGATAGATAGCATCAGAATTAGACATAATGAATAAGGGACAGAATTAGACATAGATAGATAACGCTCAAATTAGACATAGATAGGACATAGACATGATAAACGCCTAGAATTAGACATAGATAGATAACGCTCAGAATTAGAGCATAGATAGGACAAATTAGACATAGATAGATAACGCACAAATTAGACATGAATAGATAACATAGATAGATAACATAGATAGATAGGGACAGAATTAGACATAACGATTGAACCTTAGATAGATAACGCTCAGAATTAGACAGATAGATAGACAGAATTAGACATAGATAGATAACGCTCAGAATTATACATAGATGGCTCAGAATTAGATAGATAACTCTCAGAATTAGACATAGATAGATAAATGCATAGATAGATAAGGGACAGAATTAGACATAGATAGATAACGCCTTAGAATTAGACATAGATAGATAACGCTCAATTCAGAACATAGATGAATAACAGACATAGATAGACATAGACATAAATAGATAACGCCCAGAATTAGACATATGATAGATAACGCTCAGAATTAGACATAGATTTATTACGCTCAGATAGATAGATAACGCTCAGAATTAGACATAGATAGATAACGCTCAGAATTAGACATAGATAGATAACGCTCAAATTAGTACAGAATTAGACATAGATAGATAACGCTCAGAATTAGACATAGATAGATAAACGCTTAGAATTAGATAGATAGATAACAATTAGACATTAGACATTAGACATAGATAGATAACGCAGAATTAGACATAGATAGATAACGCTCAGAATTAGACATAGATAGATAACGGACAGAATTAGACATAGATAGATAACGCTTAGAATTAGACATAGATAGATAACGCTCAGAATTAGACATAGATAGATAACGGAATTAGACAGAATTAGACATAGATAGATAACGCTCAGAATTAGACATAGATAGATAAGGGACAGAATTAGACATAGATAGATAACGCTCAGAATTAGACATAGATAGATAACGCTCAGAATTAGACATAGATAGATAAGGACAGAATTAGACATAGATAGATAACGCTCAGAATTAGACATAGATAGATAAAGGGACAGAATTAGACATAGATAGATAACGCTCAGAATTAGACATAGATAGATAACGCCCATAGATAGATAAGGGACAGAATTAGACATAGATAACGCTCAGAATTAACATAGATAGATAACGGGACAGAATTAGACATAGATAGATAAGGGACAGAATTAGACATAGATAGAATAACGCTCAGAATTGTGATAGATAACGCTCAGAATTAGACATAGATAGATAACGCTCAGAATTAGACATAGATAGATAAGGGACAGAATTAGACATAGATAGATAACGCTCAGAATTAGACATAGATAGATAACGCCAAGAAATTAGACATAGATAGATAACGCTGAGAATTAGACATAGATAGATAAGGGACAGAATTAGACATAGATAGATAACGCTCAGAATTAGACATAGATAGACATAATTAACATAGATAGATAATGGACAGAATTAGACATAGATAGATAGATAACGCTCAGAATTAGACATAGATAGATAACGCTCATAGATAGATAAGGGACAGAATTAGACATAGATAGATAACGCTCAGAATTAGACATAGATAGATAAAGATGGACAGGAATTAGACATATGATAGATAACTTGATATTAACGCTCTGATTAGACATGAATGAATAACGCTCAGAAATTAAACATGGATAACGGACAGAATTAGACATAGATAGATAACGCTTAAATTAGCTCAGAATTAGACATAGATAGATTACGCTCAGAATTAGACATAGATAGATAACGCTCAGAATTAGACATATAGATATAGAATTAACATAGCTCATAACGCTCAATTAGACATAGATGAATAACTCAGAATTAGACATGAATTAGACAGAATTAGACATAGATAACGCTCAGAATTAGACATGAATAGATAACGCTCAGAATTAGACATGGATAGATAAACAGAATTAGACATATGAATAGATGCCTTAGAATTGAATTTAGATAGATAACGCTCATTAGACATAGATAACCGCTCAAATTAGACATAGATAGACAAATTAGACATAGATAGATAACGCTCAAATTGGTAATTAGACATAGATAGATAAAGGACATGAATGGTAGACAATTAGATAGATATGGCACGCTCAGAATTAGAGCCCTTGAATAGATAATGACAAATTAGACATAGATAGATAACATCAGAATTAGACAAGATTAGAATTAGACATAGATAGGGATAACGCTCAAATTAATGACATAGGACAAATTAGACATAGATAAGGACAGAATTAGACATAGATAGATAACTCAGAATTACGACATAGATAGATAAAGGGACAAGAATTGGGGACATTGACATGATAACTCCAAATTAAGACATAGATAGATAACGCTCAAATTAGGGATGGGGACAGAATTAGACATAGATAGATGGCATAGATAGATAATAACAGAATTAGACATAGATAGATAACGGACTGAATTAGACATAGATAGATAACGGACAGAATTAGACATGGATAGATAACGCTCAGAATTAGACATAGAATGAATAAAGGATCAGACATAGATAGATAGATAGACAGATAGATAACGCTCTAGACATGAATAGATAAGGGACAAATTAGACATAGATGGAGTAACGCTCAAATTAGACATAGATATAGAATTAGACAAGATAGATAAGGGACAGAATTAGACATAGATAACGCTCAGAATTAGACATAGATAGATAAGGGACAGAATTAGACATAGATAGATAACGCTCAGAATTAGACATAGATAGATACCAGAATTAGACATAGATAGATAAGGGGACAAATTAGACATAGATAATAACTCTCAAATTAGACATAGATAACGATAACATATAGATGGTAACTCAGAATTAGACATAGATAGATAGGACTCAAAATTAGACATAGATAGATAATGCTCAGAATTCAGACATGAATGATAGAAAGAATTAGACGCTCAGAATTAAGACATTAGATATAGATGGCCCAGAATTAAGACATAGATAGATAACGCCCAGAATTACAATGATAGATAAAAAGGGACAGAATCATGAATTAACCTTGACATAGATAGATAAAAAGGACAGAATTAGACATAGATGGATAACGCTCAGAATTAATATGAATAGATAACGAATCAGAAATTAGACATAGATGAATATGGACAAGAATTAGACATAGATAGATGAATAACGCCCAGAATTAGACATAGATAGATAACGCTCAGAATTAGACTATAGATGAATGACGGACTCAGAATTAGACATAGATAGATAACGCCTCAGAATTAGACATGATAGATAAGGGGACAGAATTAGACATAGATAAATAACGCTCAGAATTAGACATAGATAGATAACGCTCAGAATTGGAACATAGATAGATAAAGGACAGAATTAGACATAGATAGACAGGCAATGGATAAAGGGACTCAACATAGATTAACGACATAGATAGATAGCAACTCAGAATTAGACATAGATAGATAAAGGGACAGAATTAGACATAGATAGATAACATAGATCAGAATTAGACATCAGAATTAGAATGAATAACGCTCAGAATTAGACATAGATAGATAAAGGACAGAATTAGACATAGATAATAACGCTCAGAATTAGACATAGATAGATAACGCTCATAGATAATAAGGGACAGAATTGAACACACAGATAGATAACGCTCAAGAATTAACGATAGATAGATAAGGGACAGCATAGATCGATAACGAATTAGACATAGATAGATAAGGGACAGAATTAGACATAGATAGATAACGCTCAGAATTAGACACAGATAGATAACGCCAAATTAGACATAGATAGATAAGGGACAGAATTAGACATAGATGAATACGCCCAGAATTAGACATAGATAGATAGCAGCTCAGAATTGGGATAGATAAGGGACAGAATTGGAACATAAGATAGATAACGCCCAGAATTAGACATAGATAGATAACGCTCAAATTAGACATTAGATAAGGACATAACGATAGATAGATAACGCTCAGAATTAGACATAGATAGATAAGGGACAGAATTAGACATAGATAGATAACGCTCAGAATTGAATAACTTGAGAATTAGACATAGATAGATAACGCCCAGAATTAGACATAGATAGATAACGCCTCAAATTGGAATGAATAGATAACGCTCAAATTAAGACCTTAGATAGATAACGACAGAATTAGACATAGATAAATAAGGGACTAGAATTAGACATAGATAGATAAACTCCTAGAATTGAACATAGATAGATAACGCTCAGAATTGAACCTTAGATAGATAAGGGAATTAGACATAGATAGATAACGCTCAGAATTGAACATAGATAGATAAAGACAGAATTAGACATAGATAGATAACGGACAGAATTAGACATAGATAGATAAAGGGACAGAATTCAGACATAATTAGATAACGCTCAAATTAGAGATAGATAGGGACAGAATTAGAGATAACGCTCAGAATTAGACATAGAATGAGATAAGGGACAAGAATTAAGACATAGATAGATAACGCTCAGAATTAGACATAGATAGATAACGCTCAAGAATTAGACATAGATGATAGATAGATAACATGAATGAATAACGCTCAGAATTAGACATAGATAGATAACGCTTAGACATGAATAGATAGACAGAATTGAACATAGATAGATAACATTAGACATGAATGAATAAGACATAGATAATGATAACGCTCAGAATTAGACATAGATAGATAACATAGATGGATCACAGAATTAGACATAGATAGATAATGCTCAAATTCTTGGAATTA